GCACGATTCGGGACGAATCTTTTTATACCGGGGGGGTAATATTACAACACTAGCGGATAGGTTCCAATCCTAACATAGCACGACTAGTAGCCTGGTGGCAGGCACCAGGCCGCGTGCATTAACCACTTAGGTCTCGAGTTAAAACCCTAGACGCTAGGCGCGCCTTTATACGTTTCCTCTTTCTTCCCCATCTTATAATTCTACTATAGACCTGGGAATCAACGTGTTTAGCTTTGTCTCTCGTGACCACGTCGCTCGTAACATTTATTATATTCGTTAAATTAATAGTATTAACTACTTACTTAGTCTATGTACTATAATACTTAATTAATTATCCCTTTTTTAATTAGTCGAGTGCGCTTAATTAATTAGCGATTATAATTTCTCTCTTTTTAATCGGTACCGCCCAGAGCAAAGCTATATTATATTAACTCTTATCCGACCGATAGAACCCGATTTCTATACGTAATTGAACGAAGCGCCCGCTGCCCGATTGGGTTAGCCCTAATGCGAGATACGTAAGGTATTACGTGGACTACGTCATCGGAGTATTAGTAAGTTTATAATTAAAAGCGGAGGATTATATGTGACTTTAAGGTTCGCTGCGTTAGCGGAGCGGTCTAGAATCCGGATTTTTCATTTTTCTATTTTTATACCTTATTAAATTATATTATTAATTATTTAATTGGGTTAATAATCATTTTAACTATTTACTTCTATAATTTCTTTAAATTATATTTAATATTCCCTTTACCGCCTTTAACCTTTAGTAATTCAATTTACCCCTATTCGAAGGTATTTATTTATTCTCTTCTTTAATTCGATAATTCTTATTTTCTTATTTAATTAATTATAGCTATTTTATACCTATTTACGCAATAACTTTTCATTAACCTATTACTCTTAAAAATTATTATTATGGCTGACTAAATCTCCCTAGAGTAAATACTTTAGAATTATAATAGTAAAATTTGTACTTTACATAATAATTTTAATCTCTTAAACGAAAAATTCTCTCTTTTAGTTAAGACTATTAATAAAAATCTTATTCTTAAAATAAAGTTGCCCAATACTAATAAGTTTATTAGAATTAATTTTTCTTTTAAAATTTAATTGCCTATAATCCGCACTAAGCTTAGATTTAATAATAAAATTATTAGTAATATTAAAATATAATTCTTTTATATTTATTCCCGGTTTAAGGGAAAGATTTAGGCTTTGGTTATACTATAGTTGATTCAATCCTCCGAGAGTAGCGTTTTCAACCCTTAAGTCTTTTTTAATTAATTAATCTATATTTACAATAATCCTAATAAAATTTAATAAATTAAAACCGCTTTATACGTTCTCTAATAGGGCGACAATACCTTTAGTATTTTTATTATTAAATTTAAACGTCTCTTCTATAAAATTCAAATTAACTCTTAGTTTGAACCCGTAAAGATCTTTCTCCTTCGTTAGGTTTTTAATAAAGAGATATATAAGTACGCACTATAAATCCGTCCCTAGCTAACTATTTATATAAATTATATTAATAAATTGAAAGAGGTTTTCGGATTTATTTACTTCTTTAGTAAATACGGTGCTAATTATAAGAATAGGGATACTATAAACGTCAATGTTATTCAAAATATATTAAATTTAATTAAATTTACTTATATAGTTTCTAATAAAGCTCTACCTCCTATTCCTAGTACTACGGCTACGGTTCCTTCAACCTTAATTTCTTGTACTTAATTTAATACTGTTATAATTTTATATAATAATAATAATAATAATAATAACGATTCTATTTTAAATTACAATTCTTACGCGTTTTATTCGTTAGAAGACTTCGAGCGCAAGTTGGAGTGTATATATTATAGCGATGGATTAGTTAGATGGAGTTGTGATTTGGATTGAATTGTACTAACGATACGGATTGGGAATTAAGGTTTTACGGTATTAGGGACTTTAATAGTTTTTACGTAGATTTTTATAATAATAGAGGATTTTACTATTTCTAGTCGACTTTAAGTTTGAGTCTTTTTTCCGCGGGGGGGTAATATTATAGCTAAGCTAGATTAGTTACTAAGACTACCTATATAGTCCGTACTCCTATTTAAACCTTCTAATTAAGTATATTCTTATTGTATCTACCCGTATTGTCTAATTAAGTACATCCCTTCTCGGGACCCACTTCCTTCCTATATTTAACCGTGCTAGCCAGAGCTAGCACTTCTTCTTCCCTTTTACTCCCTATAGTTAATTATTTATTACATTCGTTAGATTAGTAGTGCCAGCCACTTGCCCAGTCTACGTACCGTAACACAAATCATTTATCTAACAATTTTATTATTAAAACATTTCAACACAACATTCAACTACTCTTTTTACCTCCTCATACATCCTATAAAACTCAACCGCTTAATAAATCCGTATTTACTACCGTTAAATTATATTTCAAAAATTCAATTAAAAACTTTACCTCCTTTCCAACATTAACGCTAATAAATTAACAACAATTTCTCCAATATTATCAAAAAACTTCACAATAAAGTGTAAATTCTAAAAACCTTAAATTAAAGTTCAAAAAAACAAGAATATAACCAATAAACAAATCCGTTATTCTTAACAACCCTAAAGCAATTATCAATAACAATACCCTCCCCCTCCAACCATCACCACCCAAAACGCTACCCAAAAACGAAATATCTAAAGTTAACTACATTTTCAAAACTCCCCAAAAATCCAAGGATATATTAGAAAACATTCACAACAAATTAACTACTATTAACCGTAATATCCAGACTATCTACACCAAAGCAACCAAGGCGCTTAATAATAAAAACGCTAAGCTCGCCGCTAAAGATCACCAAATTCAATATTTACAAACCAAACTAGAATTACAAAAGCCAAAGGGTAAAAGGAAGGTTAAAAAAGGGGGTAATAATAAATTTACACGTATAAAAAATATAATCGAAGCTCGTAAAGCCTCAAAGCAAGCCCCCAAGCGCCAGCGGATTGCTACAGTAACGACAACGTCGTCATCACTACAACCCATCGAGAAAGCTGTTGAGTCAATACTCCAGACCATTCATGAGCATCAGGATTAATCAATAAACATCTCAAACGGTTGAAATCGCTGCAAAAATAGCCAATTTTCAATGTTATCCGACTACTGGTTATGGCTGGGGATGTGGCCAGTTGAGGGGGGCGGCCAGCTGTGGGGTCATGACTGGTAGACCGTGACTATTCCTTTTCCATTTATCGGGTGAAACAGGAAGTACCACCTCGAGGTACACTAGACTAGACCAAGTCTAGAAGTAGGTAGTGTTACCTCTGCCACTTGATCGTCCTTTTTTTCAGTTCAGTCAGTTGCTTCCATCACCACCTCCAACATCCGTCTTCTTCTCCAACCACTTCTCTTCTTGCCCTTCAAGGGAACCAACCACCCGCCCGTCTCAGCCTGCTGCAGACCTGAAGACAGCCAAGCCAAGCCAACATGCAACTCTTCTCCGTCCCCATCTTCCTCCTCGTCTTCCGCGAGACCATCGAGACATCCATCATCGTCTCGGTCCTCCTCGTCTTCCTCAAGCAAACCCTTGCCTCCCCATCGTCATCATCTCCAGCAGAGGCAATAAGCCGTGCCGCCGCCACCACCGCTGCCGCTGCCGCTGCTGATGATGATGAACTCAAACCTCCCTCCTCCACCAACAACAACAACAACTCCGATTCACCACAACAACCCGTGGTTGTGGATCTCCGTGTGTACAATGCACTCCGCCGCCAAATCCTCCTTGGTACCGTCCTCGGCTTCATCCTGTGCATCGCCATCGGCGGCGCCGTCATCGGCGTCTTCTACACTCTTGGCGTCAACAAGTGGGAGAGCTCGGGCGCCGAGCTCAACTGGGAAGGAGCATTTTGTCTCTTGGCGAGCGTGATTATCAGTGTGGTGGGCGCGGCGCTGTTGCGAGTGGGCAGGATGAAGGAGAAGTGGAGGGGCAAGATGATTAAAGCTATGGAGGGGAAGGAGAAGAACAAGAAGTCAAAGGGTGGGAGAGTTGCCGGGGGCGAGGAAGATATGGAGCGAGGGGAGACCGTGGAAAGAGAACGTGGATGGTGGGTCAAGTGCAAGGCGTGGATGGAACGATATGTCATGTTTATCCTGCCGTTCGTGACAGTCCTGAGAGAGGGCGTGGAGGCGATTGTCTTTGTTGCTGGTGTGTCGTTCGCGGCGCCGGCGACTTCGATTCCGATTCCTGCTATTGTTGGCGTTATCGTGGGATCTTTGGTGGGGGTGGTTCTGTATAAGTGAGTTTCATTCCCCCCATCGTCAGCTTGAGCGGTAACTAACGAGGCGGTTCACAGATTCGGATCCTCAACCAAGTTGCAACTCTTCCTCGTCCTCTCGACATCCCTCCTCTACCTCGTCGCAGCCGGCCTCTTCTCTCGCGCAATCTGGGCCTTGGAGAGTCAGCAATGGGCCAAAGCCGTCGGAAGTGATGCCATCGAACTCGGTAGCGGCCCTGGATCTTACGATATTGACAAATCTGTCTGGCATGTCGACTGTTGTAGCCCGCAGGTGAACGGTGGAGGCGGTTGGGGCATCTTCAACGCCATCTTCGGCTGGACCAACTCGGCAACATACGGGTCCGTCATCGGATACGACCTCTACTGGCTGGTCGTCATTGTGTCGTTCCTCGTCATGAGATACCGCGAGGTGAAGGGGAAATGGCCGTTGATCCCGCAGAAGACTCAGGTCGAAGATGGCAGCGAGAAGGGTAGCCTTTTTGGCAGGTTGAGCTGGAAGAAGGGCAGAGCTTGAAGGGGATGTCTGTATCAAGTAGTATCGCAAGGCAGTAAGCCGCCGCGCGCGTAACACAGAAGAAGATAATGAAGAGGAGTTACCGATATTGATGCAAGGAGAAGGTAAAAAAAGGATTTTTCAAGACAGTTGAGATGGCTCATCAGTGACCTCCCTGTGCTTCACTAGACCAGATACAAGTCCCGCGGTGAGGTAACATTCGGATGGCATCTTGCTCGCTTCTATACTTTATCTATTTCACTGGTTATGTAAGACCGCTTTTGATCAAGCAATATGCCGCCATCTAAACGCCAACTGATGCAACTTGGACCAACAACATAACGTCCTCAATACTCCTCCGCCGTCCAATCCCACTCATCAGCCAGAAACAGTTCCATGGCCATCTTGCTCGTCCCCAGCGTGCTATTATATCTCATTCTCGGATCCGCCGCCAGCGTTCTAGTGAACCTAAACACCCTATTTTTCCCTTTTTCTCCTCTGCCACCATCTTCCCCTTCCTCCTGCCGTCTCTCCACCAAACTAACCCAACTAACTTCCTCCCTCCTCTTCTCCCAATCCGCCCTCTTGACGAGCACCACCTCGCTATTCAACATAGCCTGCACGTAATCCAAAACCGGCAACATCCTCGTCCTTAATCCGCAGTTCGTATGATGTCGATCAATCTGATAACTCGGACACTGTCGTAAAATCGCCACGAAATGGTTGATTTCCATTGTTGAGATGCCGCCCAGGTCATTATTCTCCCCTCTAATGCCAGAGGAATGTTTAGGGGGTCCAAACACCACGCCCATACCCGGGTTATGTCCATCCACTTTGGCAAGCGGATTCTCCCCGCCGCCATCATATTGGGTAATAGCCCGATCGAAACTCGACGGACTAAAGTCGACAAGGGCCAAAAGTCCCTTGGTGCAGAGAAACCGAATCATCTCGCCTAACTGGTAAGAATCGCAGCTGGCGCTGCTCTCGTAACCTAGTTTGCATTGACGACCTTGTGCGGCGGCTTGTAAGGCCGAGGCGGCGTTGGATGTGAAGCTTGATCCTATTCCCGCACTGCTGGTAACAATGGACCGGGTCTGTGGGGGGCGGACGATGTATAACCGTAAAAAGTGGCGGGGGATGGATGCCAAGACGGAAAGGAGGCAGGTGCGTCGGTAGGAAAGTTCGTCTTCGAGGAGGTCGGGGAGGGACCACCATTTTGCTTTGTATTTGTGTTTGTATTTATTTCCAGTGTATTTCTCAGGGTGAGAGTTAGGGACAGGGTTAGGATCAGAAGAGGTGTAGTCGGATTCGGAATCGGAATCTTCAGGGGAAGCGGAAAGGGTCCAGCGGCGGGATCCGTACAGGATTAATTCGCGGGTGGCGGATTGGAACTTGAGTGGGAGGTCGAGAAGCCAGGAGACCAAGATTTTTTGGCGCAAGAGTTCTTCACCCGCAAAAGTGAGGGCGTGGCCGTCTTGGTCTTTGGTGAGGCGGGTGGGTGTCGCGGGCCATTTTAAGGGGGTCTGGGAAGAAGAAGGGAGACGGGAGAGGGAGGGGGTGCAGGAGAAACGGTCGGCGAGGAGGGAGAGGGTGGTTAGGTAGGGGATTGTCAGGGGGGGTGCTGTTGGTGCTAGTTCGGTGGTGACTGGTTCGTCTGGCGTTTCTGGCTTTTGTAGCGTCGGCTTTGGTTGTCCCTTTTGTGATGTTTTGTCTAGAGGCTTTCTGAGGCCGTTTGATTGGGTTCCTTTGGCTGGTGTCTTGGTTGGTAGTTTTTGGCCTGGTTTTTGTTCTTTCGTTGTTGCTGCCGGTTTGGATACTACTGGTTTTGGTGTCGGTGCTGCTGCTGTGGGTTCTGGTGGTGTTACTTCTGCTGGAGGTTCCGCCGATGTCTCATCTGCCGGCGGCGGTACCCTCCCATGATGTAGTATATACAGCAAATCATGAAAGATATACCTCATCTCCGCACTCTGCGTAGCCTCGTCATCTTCTCTAATGCTCACCCGTGGGAGCTGCGTCCAGTCCGCCTCGCCAGGACTAATGTTTTCCAGCGAAAGCTTAGCCAGAGCCGCTTCAACAGCTTTGGCCTCGGCAAAACGCGTGTCTGAGAGCAAACGGGCAAAGTAGGGCGACTGCTCTTTCAGGACAGACAGATGAACACGGAAACCAACTCTTTCTCTGGGCTTGGGCGGTGGTCTCGGTGGTCTGACTGGCGTCTTTGCGGGTCCTTGTCCGGGTATTGTTGCCTTGCTGGTCCGAGGAGTTGGTCGGGAGGAGAAGGCGGCAAAGGCTTTCTTGGCGGCGAGGATGACGGGTTTGGAGGTCTCAAAGGTTACGTCGAGGATTATGTCGCCGTTGGGAACGATTTCGATGATTTCTAGGTCGGTACCGCCGACGCCGTTGATGGGTGTTGACATGATGGGCTTGGGATGAGAGGGCCTTTAATCCAGTTGGTGGTGTCGCGCTTATATCAACCCTTCACACATCCATTGAAAGGGAACTCAATTAAGACTGATCAATTTGAGAGTTCTTCCTGGAAGGTGAGTTGACGAGCTCTACACTTCCACTTCAAGCAGGTGTCGATATCTGATATTGAAGATTACGTGATCAGCCAGAATGGTTCGCGTCACAAATCTTTACGCTAACCGGCTGACGAAACAAGACAGTACATGACATTATGAGATGAATCATAACTTGATCGACCGTGACGCTTTATATTTTTACTCACTTGTGATTCACAGAGACGAAACCGCCACAGTTCCAGCTCTTTCACCAGAGAAACAAGAATGTGGATGTCCTTGGAGTTGTTGTCAAGTCTTAATTCTGTATCAGTTCATTGTGAAGCGGCTAGTGATGCAGGAGGCGAAATTGTTAGTGCTATAAGTAACTCTACAGGTCCAATCCGGGGCATCTGGGGTCTTCCGAGATCGGATCTGGAACCATGTCTTGTTCATCACAAACCCCTTTCCACACGTTTCTCGTTGTTGTTTGCTTTGTATTTATAGATGCTGTAGACCCAAAATCAATCAATCAAGCTGTTTGCTCGTTTCCTGTCCACCGCTGGAGTGAAACGTGGTACAGCCAAGGTAGCAAGCAATTGAAGTAGCCGTAGCAGCGAGTGATAATATCCGGTAATGATTAGGTAAAACAGAGGGCGGCCGAGACCGCTACTGGATGCCTCCAGCTGACCCACGACAGGAAGCCCACCCTGACCAAGACCACCATCGTGCACTTTGGCGTCAATCCCGTCATTCAGGCCCATGTCGGTGCCAAGAAACCGACGTCAACCTCTTCGGCCAGCTTCCTCTCTCTTTTTTCCCAGGCATCCCCCTCCCCATCCCACTTCCCCCTTACACCTGACCCTTTGCTATGCTCACCAGAGCAGATACGATTTTTCTCAAGTTGCTTTCCTCCGCCTTTCCCTACAACGTTTCTTGACACCTCGCCGTCGTCACCTCAGATCGCAACCTAGGTCAGATCGGATAGGCAATGGCCGCTGTGCGCCGTCGTCCCCCCACCCAGTCTCTTGTATCTGCTCTCCAACACCTCGAGCCTGCTTCTTTCCCCGCGAAAGCTCCCAGAGCTACCCACCAAGACACCGAACTTCTGCTAAATGCCTTTATGGCCTATCTCTCTACCCTTTTCCACCATCCTCCCACGGCTACACGACCTGCGATGAGACGAGTGACGATGCCCGGTCCGCGGGTCCTGCGCACAGCTGCCGGTAGACGCTACCTCCATGCATACGCACGACCCTCGAGAACCTCCTCCAGCTCGACAATAAGCGCCGACGAGCTTTGCAACCGTTTCCGAACCCATACCCTCACCGACCGAACCTCGAAGCGCAAGTTCCACAACTACTTCGTCACCCATCTGCCGTCGTCCTCCTTACATCCCGATTCTCGGTTACAACATCCCCACCATAAGCTCCCGCGATCGGCATCGGTACCACACAAGCAGGATCCCGGAGCTGCTCCGGCTGCTGTACCTCCCAACATACCCAGTCGCGACCTCACCGTCGTCCGAATTCCCCTACGAAGCGCAAAACACCATTTTGGCACGGCCGTCTCGCGCGGTCAACGCAACTACAATGAAGATACAAACCAGGCTGGTACAATCAGCATGCCGTCCTTTGCCAAACGAGCTCCCATGAGCCTCGTTCGCAGCCAGTTGCGGTCTCTTAACGAGAACGCCACGGCAAACAGTGCGTTTGGAGACCCCCAGATCTTCTACTTTGCCGTTTTTGACGGCCACGGCGGCTCCGAGTGTAGCGAGTTCCTAAGGGACGAGCTACATGGCTACATCGAACAGGCAGCACTGGACTTTGGTCTGCAGAGTAGTTTGCAAAGACAAGGCACAAGCCTGGACAGCTTGAGTAACCCAACGGAAACGTTTGGAAATGCGCCCAGGAGCAGCAGAGATGCACTTAATCGGATCGACATGAAAAGCCCCGAAGAAGTCCAGGACCGGCTCAACGTACCGGAAACCAAAGGCAATGCCGTCGTCGAAGAAGCTTCCCACGAGCCACCCCTTGACGGAGACGAGCCCACACCAGCAGTAGCAGACGCAGCCAAGGCCGAAGAGCTTGAAATAGACCTCTTGGACGAGTACCGCAACACAGTAGGGGGCTACTTCCGCCGCTTCAACTCCCGCTATTTTTCCGAACGAGCAGGCGCCCGAGCCCGCCAGTCCGGCTCCAATGCCGCCTCCTCCACGGACGAGAACAGGAACAAGCTCCAGAAGCAAACTGACGAAACCCCTGCCACCACACCCGTGACCGTCGAAACCGTCCTCACCTACGCCTTCCTCCGCGCCGACCTCGACTTCATTACCGCCCAAGCCCGCAAGCCCGACCCCGACGACCTCCATATCGCCGACAACCCCGTCAACAAGGACGAAGTTCTCGGTCAACCGCACCTCCCGCCTTCCGGGCACCGCATCGGCGGCCCCGCGCGCTTTAAGGGCGGCTCCACGGCCTCGATCGCCCTGATTGCCACTCCCACTCCGGCACCCTTCTGGCACCCGGCGGCGCACAGCACCTTGCTCGTCGCTCATGTCGGCGACACCCGCGTATTGCTCTGCGAAACTGCCACCGGCCTCCCTCGTCCCTTGACGCACGACCACCACCCTTCCAGCCCCGTCGAGACCCGTCGACTGATGCGCTACGCCGAGTCTCTAATCACCGACTCCTTTGGCGAGGAACGCATCGGCGGCCTGGCCAACAGCCGCTCATTTGGCGACATGCAGTCCAAACGCATCGGCGTGTCTGCAGAGCCCGAGATCATACGGGTCAATATGGAACCGGCTGAGTACTCGTTTCTGGTGCTGATGAGCGACGGCGTGAGCGGCACCCTCAGTGACCAGGAGGTGGTGGATGTGATTAAAGAAGCCAGGACCCCCGAGGAGGGCGCCAAGAATGTCATTGAGTATGCGACTGAGGTGTCGGCCGATGGCGATAATGCTACGTGTCTGGTGGTGAGACTGGGTGGGTGGGAGAGAAGGATGGAAGGCGGGTTGGGTAGTTTGGGGACCAAGGAGATTAGGGATGCAAGGAGGGCGGAGGCGTTGGATCCCAGGAGGGGAAGGCGGTGATTTTGTTTTTTTTTTCTTTCCCATATGGTTCGGCGATAGAACGTACTGTAGACAGCGTTGTTCGGTTTTCGTTTCTTGTGACTTATGTTCAAGTACATAATGATGGTTTTGTTTTCAAAGTGTTTGTTTGGGATGCATAGCATGAGCACGGTGGGTGGGTGTTGGGAAAGGGGCTGAAGCATCGAATATCACATCGATTCTATTTATATGATCGTTGAACTTGGGAAAAAGTGCAACGTTGTCGAAGTGAGAAAGACAGTGAAGAACCTGATCTCGGTCCTTTGAGCGACGGTTTACCTGGAGTCAAACTTGCATGTCTGTTCAACATGCAATATAGAACATTTACACTCATCAGAGATAAACTATCATCATTTACTCTCGTGAGCGTTCTTGTTCGCGGAAGCATAGGGAATCAAAACATGTGTCCCCTCACTTGGTCGTAGTCAAAGTAGTTAGCATTTGCCAGCGTAGTAGCAGTGTGATGATCCCGAAGACCTGACTGATTTTATGACAAAGACTAGAACCTTGGAGAGAATGAACTAAAGGAATATTACCAGAATGAAAGCGTACAAGAAAGAGTTGGTTGAGGATTATGTTTACCTACTAGGTGTATTACCATAAAGTTTTTTTTAGGATTGAGGGTAGACTAAGGATAGCGGTACATAGTAAATGGATCCAGGCGCTTAGCCCAATAACAACCAGCGGTTGTATAGTGTAGCGGTTATCACTCCGGATTCTGAGTCTTTCACCTTATCAGAAACATTCCGGCAACCCCGGTTCGATTCCGGGTACGACCTCTCCTTTTGTCATTTTTTTTGTTCCTTCCTCGTTACTTTGATCTTCATGTTCGGTCCCTTGTTTACCTCGAGTTTTGTTTTTTGCTCCCACTTCATCCTGTTTTGCCACCGCTCTAACATTTTTTTCTCCCTACTCCCTCCTTTTTCTATCTTTCATTTCCCTCCATCATTCCCTTATATACAACTTAGTAAGTACATACATACAAGCATGCGGCTTTTCCCACCACATCCACTATGCAAAAGAATGGAACACAACCCCACCAACCCCACACATCTAGTCTAGAAAGTTCCGAATTGCCTCACCTGTGCACAAATCCAACTACATAGGTCCGCATTCTAGCAGGCGTACACCAACCAGAACCAAACAGTTTCAAGGTTCTATAGTGTAGCGGTTATCACTCCGGATTCTGATTTGTACCCTTCAGGACATTCCGGCAACCCCGGTTCGATTCCGGGTAGGACCTCATCTTTTGACTTTTTAACTGGTTCATATTTTTCTGGATCTCACTCACATGCTTCAACCGCCCTATACCTTTTTCTTTCTGTTGTTGTTTTGTCCTCTTCGGTTTCTCTTCATAGTTTCCCGTTTTCGCTGATGGATGCATGATCGCTAAGTTCTTGGTCGTTGTTGTTTCGAGAAAGTACTTCAAACCACGGTTTTAATCCGTTGGGCGGACGCATGAATTCCGACTCCTAGGTCATCGTGCAAGCATAGTAAGTCTCATGGTGTGTGTTGTGCTTGTTAGTGTGTTGCCGCTGGTGTGCTTCTCAAGATGGTGCTTCTCAAGACGGAGCCTTGTCATAGAACGAAGCCCGTAATACCTGTACTGATGGGAGGACGACTCGAGGACACTAGAACTACGCAGTCAGTAGTCATCAGGCAGGCTGTCTTCGCACCGCAAGGATGTCATTTTCGACATGATGCCTTTCTCGATCAAATCCAGGTTGTGCCACTAGCTCATTATATCGCCAACGACAACAATGATGATTCAAGACAAGAGCGCCTCTTTACTTTCCTGAGGAGGGTTACGCGCATTTATCAGACAAAAAGGTCCTTGGAGTGCATAAAACTGCCTTGATTTAACAGACAACGCTTGGTAAATAAACGATTAGGCACCTCAAGGATATGGTCAGGCATTTGCATGATCTCGCTTCACTATTTGCGTTGTACGAAACACATATTCACAGCGTCCGAAGGTACCTATACAAGACTTCTAGGTGGGATGGGATGTCGGTGTTATTACCTAGGTAGGTAATTGCGGAAGTTAAGCACCCAGCGACATTTTTCGTTTCTATGTTAACCTTACTCGTCCTGGACAGGATGGTTGAGACCTTTGACATTATACCTCGGGTGTACTCATATTACGCACCCAAGCGCCATTGTTACACGTCTAGTCTTAAGTTCTAGGCAATTACTGAATAGAAATATCGAAATAGGATAGTAGGAGATTTCTTTTTCGAATTATTTTTCTTCGTATCACAGTCCTGCAACAGCCTTTTTGTATATATCTTGAGCGGTCGCGGACTGGTTTACCTAACCTGCTGATTGGTCTCATCTATTTTGTTTCGGACGAGCCTTCCATGCTAGCATATGCAGGTCACCTCCCCTTTCTACTTCCAACGCACTTACTCATATCAGTTTAATCCGCCTCGGTTCAACCCCATCAAAAATCGCTACCCTCATATGCCGAAACGTTCCCACCCGGCTATAAACACAAAGATCCCTATCAACATCACGCTTCTCCTCCTCTTCTCTGAGAAGAAGGCCCCCTATCACTGTCTTCCGAAGTTTACTGTAATCTCTTTGCGCCACCATACCCATACACCAAAGTCTACTACCGCTCCGTTCTGCTTCCCCCTCTACGTCGAGGGCATGATCAGCCACCCAACGACCGTCGATCTTCAAGCCGCCGAAGTAATAATGTGACCCATACATATACTCGGGGTCTAGCTCGATCAGGGTTTCGGTAAACAATTCCACCTCCACGAGACGGGCACCGCTTATGATGAGATTCGCGTCTTTTAGGGCACCGTAGGGGTCGTCGTACTTGGGCAGTAAGTTAATCTCCTCCACTTCCCATCCATCTGTTATGACTCTACGTGCATCTTTAATGTCTTTCCATGGATCCTTGCCGTCTTTGCGTATATCCATGCCGTCCTTGCGTGCATCTTTATTGTCCCTCTCCCTAGGCTGTATATCGGCTGCATCTCTCCATGTCCCAGCCATCATCAACTGCTTCTTCCTCATTTCTTTCACCCTCCTGGCAGGAACTTTCGGTTTGAAACTTATTACTCCTCCTTTGACGGACGCCCACGACCAGCTGGGCGCGACATAATTATCCGCCGCCGCCGCCGCCAGTCTTCTCGCCCTCGATTTATCTTCCACCTCCCAGAACAGCTCTTCCTTCAGGCGAGAGCTCCATAGTCCAGCCACGTACCGCGCACAAGGGAAGTGGTTTCGCTGGTAAAACTGCGCCATACCAGACAAGGCAGCCAGTTTGTCCGTGTCCTTGGTTAATAATCGCTGGCTGTAATCGAACACCATTGCCCACCAGTCGCACTCACTTGTGTAGGCTTTGAGCAGAGAGGAAATGGTATTGGCAATGCCATTGGCAGCACTAGCGGCTTGGACCAAATCGCCGTCTTCATGTTGAAGAAGGTTTAGGCTTGGAATACTTCCACTTTCTACCTCTATCTCCGACCACTCCTCCTTCCATTCACGTTGTGGTGATGAGTCCAGCCCAGCATAGTACGAAGAAGAGTGATCATGCCACGGCCGCTGCGCAGTGGCTTTCAGCTCCGCGCACTCCCAGAGTACTTGTTTCTTAGCGAAATGGATGTTGCGCCGCGAGAGTTCGCGCTCCTGGAGCGTCCAAGCCCGAGAGCGGAGCGGTGAGGTGTCGTCGCCGAGCCTCCCCACCATGTGCATTGTCCGGTTGGTCCCGTTGTAGAGGGTGTGCCAGTTTTCGTTGGAGTAGTAGAGTAATCGAAATCGGGGGGAGGAGGAGGAGGAGGAGGAGGAGGAGGAGGAGGAGGCAAAGGCGCGGTTCATGTTCTCTATCGTGCCGCTTTTGGGACTTGGTTGTTGGGCAGGTGAGGTGGTGATACTGAGATCCATATAGGAACGGTCCTCGTCTAGTGGTTCCAAGTGTAACCCCCCGCTGCTGTCGCGGGAGCTCAGGGCGGATAGCGTACAGGATGCGTGGGAGTAGACCTTGGCCATCAAACTGGCTTCGCGCGCCCAGTCTTGTTCGTCGTCTTGGACGATGCAAAGGGAGTCGATCCAGAGGTATCGGTGGCCTAGTTTGCGGGTCATTTCGATTGCGTCTTGGAAGGTTCGGGGTAACTCGACGAAGGGAATCCTTTCCATGCGCTGGGATAGGTTGGCTTTGGTGGTCGTCGTCGGACGCTTTTCCGGTGGTCCCCAGCAGTGACTTAGTGTGAAGTAGGGCGGCGGGAACTTGTTCGTGTCTGATCCCGGGCTCATCGCTAGACTCAAGCAGACGAGCCTGACGTCGTTCCCAAGATGGCATGATAGTCCACTACCCGTTCCGAATGCTTGGACATCGAGCAGTCTAGTTGGCAAGAAATCGGTGTCGGTATCCATTGAGGTCTTCTTGATCTCGCGGCATTGCGTATGATTCCGTTGGCAGTTTCTCAACCAATCCTTCAAGAGCAGGACGTTATGTTCAGGATTCTGATCATTGTATCCCATAGGCGGCTGAAACTTCGGACCTATATTGAATCAACAAACGTAATCGTAAGCATAGCTGACTCTTTCCCAAAATCCCAAGACCCAGAAAAACATAGACAATAGACAGAGACAGCAAGGCAAACCCTAGAAACACATAAACAATAGACAGAGAGAGCAAGACGAAACCCAGAAACACACAGACGCTAGACAAAGGGAGAGGGGAACAAAAAAGACAAGAAAAGAAAAGAATCAACTTACACCAACTCCCCGGTACCTTCACCAAATCCACCTGAAATAGCTCCTCATTATTCAGACACTTTATCCTCCAGTCCCACTTGCCCCTCGTCTCATCCTCCTTCCTCTTGCTGTTCGACGTCCAACTCCAGTCTCCCCTCCGCCCAAAAACCAGCGGCACGTCTACCGCCCACTCGTCAGTCCGCGGATTCATCACCGGTGGCAGGTAATATGCTCTTGAAGTATTTTTTGCGCAGGACGCGCGGTCGGTGAATTTGGTGATCAAGAGGCAGAGGTGGCATCCTCCCTCCATTTTTTCTTGTCTGTAGTTTTCTTCTCTTTGTCTACCCCCTCCTTGCTCCCCTTGCCCTCCCCCGCCTTCGCTCTTTCCCTTTCTCCCATTTTCCCCACTTGCTTTCTTTCCTCGCTTCATCTTATCTGTTTCCTGGTCCAGGTAGCAGTCTGTTTGGGTCCGACCTGTACCTGCTTCTTCTTTTTCCCCTGCTACTTCCCCTGTTACTTCTTTTCCTGTTACCTCCTCCCCAGCTACTTTTTCCCCTGCCACTTCCTTCCCTGCCACTTCCTCCCCTACTACTTCCCTTACTACTTCCTTTCCTTCTTCCCCTACTTCCTCCCCTAGTACTTCCTCTCCTACCCCCTTGCCTACTTCCTTCCCTGTTTCTGCTTCTGCTTCTGCTTCTTTCCTCGCCTCTGCTTCAGCTGCCATCGCCGCCTGCACCATTGCCGCCTGCGCTTCCATCCACCTCCAAGAGCCAAGAGTAATAACCGGGTCTACACCCCATCTCCATTGCGATTCCGATTCAAATTTTGTTGTCGGCCAAGGTAGGGAAGCAAGCCAGTAAGGGACGTGGGAACAGTAGGCGCAGAGTCTGGGGGTCATTGTCTACCTAGGCTTTGACACACACTGCGCACTGAGCGGGAGGGCTGTGGACTGGAAGATGGAGGGGGTCTCTGAGGAGGGATGATTTTTTGATGTGTATCGGGTGGTGATTGGATTTCACGTCCAGTCGATGTCGATGAGATGTCGGTACTGTTGATAAGTGTCGAATAGAACTGACAAAGAAACATCAAGTGTTCTCAGATTATTGTGGATGGAGGAATGATATAAGAGATCATGCTATATGTACATATATTGGGTCGGGCAGTCTCCGCGATTTGATATAGTCAGCGAGTAGTAGAACAACACATCGACGCATACTACCTACGCAAGGCATCTTCGAAGGCAACGAACTTGGTGACGGGGACCGCTGGGGGAGGGAACCAATAATGTTACGCTTCTGGGTTCCTTAAGCGCCGGTGCTACGCTGCCACTCAAGATTCAGGTCTCACCCTCTGAAACTACTACAATGAAGGGAATCGCATGATGGGGATCCTTTTGTTTTGAGGGGGCATCAAAGATTCTGAAGAGCTGCTTCTTCTCAATGAGGAGGAAACTCCACCCCGCATCCGGGCAACGAATCATTCAATTGCAGTAGCATTTGATACTCAATCCTGCCATCATTTCGCCTTTCCCATGCCACCCCGGACTGCCCGGAGTTGTTGTGTCGCGCCAACTTGGCGGCAAGAAACTGCAGTGGAATACTGATGATGCGACAAGCCTACATATTCAGGTTATTCCAGGCGAAACGGAGGGATTGTACGGGTGGATTGCGTCTAACTATCTTCTTGGGGGTTTTGATCATCCCGAGCAACATGCGCATGGACAGGGAACCGCTCTCAGCAAGCGCTCTACATATCAATTTAACGGCAACACCGCTTGGACAATGTTGAAACGAGTATGAATTCCAAGTTGTCCGGTCGGGTATCTGCCGCTGATGAGGATAATCATCCGCCTGAGGAGCTCCGTTTTAATAGGCATTCGTGAACCGGTCAAGTTTCACGACATGGAGGTAGAAGAACGACTTTGCCGTCAAGAAGATTCGTTCTGTCTCCAAGACTCGCATGTTAACAGAAAGACAGACCAGGTTCGATATCCATGCTCCCATATTACCCAATAAAGTACAGTCTACTTTCCCTCCTGTCTACTTTGAGCCGTATAGTCAAAGATGTATCAACTCTGCTGGTTCGAAACACCATGCTTCTCGGGTTTTTAACAGCGGACTAGGAAAGGGAGATCAACAACATACCTTTCATCTGTTAAGCATTCGATCTTTAGGCTTGATCATATTTCGTAACACTGCAATATTGAACTATTGAACTAAAGTGAATGGTATCTTGCCAGAAAGGAATCATTCAAAGAACACCATCCTCACCGTGAACCTAGGATATACTCATAGAACCTCATAACCATTCGTTCATCGTCCAAAATCATCCCGGCACCCATCTCCGCTTTCAAATCATTACTTCATCAAGCTCAATACCTCCGATGTTCGTCTCTACCGCCATACCCGCCGCCGTATCCGCCACCACCTCCATATCCACCACCATATCCTCCTCCATACCCTCCTCCACCGCCATGATGACCACTTCCCCTAGACCCTTGCCCAGGGTAACCTCTTCCGTCTCGCTCCTCGCTGCTACTCCTGCTTCCATGGCTTCCTCTCCTCCTCCTGCCATCCCTACCACCACGTCTCTCATCACTCTCATAATGCTGATCATAATTCCTTTCGTAGGCATCAGCCCTTCCACCATGGGGATAAGGCGCCGAGCCACCACCGCCTACTGGACCGCCATGGGGATAGGGAGCACCACCAGAGGGACCTCCGCCGTAGCCACCGTAGCCACCGTGGCTAGGAGGGGGGCCGGCGGAGTAACCAGCGTATCCGCCACCGTAACCGGAGGGACGAGGAGGAGAGGGGGGACGCCCACCGCTGTAGGAGCCATGAGAGGGGCCGCCGTAGTGGGGCTGAGAGCCGTAGGGTGGCTGGGAGGGGTGCGCGCCGTAGGAGGGTTGAGATGAGTAAGAAGGTTGGGAACCATAGCTGGGTTGAGAATACCCGCCGTACGATGGTCCAGAAGAGCCGCCATATGATGGGCCGGAAGAGCCAGCATATGACGGCTGCGAAGGATAGCTGCTGCTGCTGCACTCATAAGCTTGATGGCCGCCGTGGTGGTACCCAAAGGACGCAGGGGCGGGTGAGGGGCGGCCGGAACCATGAACGGAGGATCCGTACCCGGAGGAAGAGGGGCGGCTGCCGTAGTAGCGATCTGTTGGCGGAGAGGCATGGCGTGGGTCGGCGGAGGAGAAGTACGAAGCTGCCTCGCCGTGCGTGGGAACCTCGTGGTGAGAAGAGGAGGCGGAGTAGCCATACTTGTGGTCGGTGGAGGAGGAGGGCCTACCACCACCTACGCCGCCGCTAGGGGCAGAAGTGTCCAGATCGCGGGATTGGATCTTGCTCCAGAGGGAGCCCGCAACCTTACCGTGGCCACCATCAGCGCCGCATGAGGTGTGGCCACCACCGGGGCCGCGGTTCATAGGTTGACCGTTCAGGACATGGTTGTGGCCTTCCTTGACGGACTCGGAATCGAGAAGCTTCTTGTAGTTATGATGAGTCTCCCGAGACCACTGCACAACGGTGTCGTACATCGTGCGCTGAATTTCGATCTCTTGCTTGTAGTTGGCAGGATGGTGGAAGACCTGGAGGACGTCGGCGATGACCTCGCTGTCGGGCACACCGGGATTTTCCCAAGCGTAAACAACCCGGCTGTCGTTGGAGTTAGCATAGTTCGAAGATCCGAAGATCAAGCGGGGGAAAAGGTGGAGACCTACGGAACGACGTATTGAACAATGTTGGCGGCGACGCGACCGGCGCACGAGTTTAAGATGTTGGTAAAGTGGTCCTTGGAAAGCATAGAGTGGGTGGGGTTGTCGCAATCAGGGTTGTTCCACGGCTCAAGCTGCTGCTTTGCGCTGGTCGCGATGAGACCAGACGAGCCCTCCTTCAACACTTGAGTGACCTGGTTGATAATGGGGCGCAGGAAAGGAGCCAGCAAGCCAAGGATGAAAGCCGTCAAAGTCTCGCTGATCTTCTCCAGCAGACTCTCCAGACCGGGAATCTTTTCGATCATGTTGTTGATGGACCTGACAATCTTGTCACGAAACTCGAGGATTGGGTAGATCTTGGCGGCAGTCTTGACGGGGTCAAAGTTGGGGCTCATGCCAGGAACAACGTTGACGTTGCCAGCAGATCTGCTGTTCTCCTGTTCTTGGGCTTCAGAGGCAGCCTTCAGGCTACGGGCTGTGCTGGCATAGCCGTCACCGACACCCGGAAGCTTGGAAACGAGAGAGATAAAGTCTCCATCGTTGCTAGAGGAACCGCCCAAGTTCAAGCCAAAGAGGCTGAGACCGCGATCGCGCGAAGAACCGCCACCGGCTCCCTTGGTCAGTTGTTCAGCGGTCAGGAGGGCATCGTTCATTTCGTCAACCTCGGACTGGGTGAAGTGATCATTGGCCTCACCCAACACGGAGTGCAAGAAGTCGACTCCTCCAAAAGTGCCCGTGACCAGGGGCCAAGCGTACTTCGCCCCAGAATCGTATCCTTCTCCAGGCCTTACGCGCCTGAACTGTCTATTCTCGAGTTTGAGTTTAGTCGCAGTGCCAACGTGGGGAAAGACTGGACTATGCCCGCCCCGCCTTTCTTCCATATCGATTAGGACCAATTCGCAGTAGTTACTGTGGGCAGGAAAGTCCTCCAGGGTATGAAGGGCCTGTCCCAAGCACCTCAAGGCCTCGCACAAGTCAGACTCCTTGCCTCTGCCATGAGAGCCACTGGTATACAGACGACCGTAATGGATGCAACGCTGCAAGCTGAAACGGATATAGCCGGCACTTGTGGTGTTCCAGCCTTGACGATGGGCCAGTTCTTCGTTGGCGATATAATTCTTCATACCGGTATTTGGATCGATCTCGAGTTCTGCGGGGTGTACTGGTCCTCGTAGTCTTGGGTCATACTCGCGGGCATCCTTTCCGTCAGCGTAGCCAAGAGGGTTGTCGATATGTTCCTCGGGTCTGTAAACGCCCAGGCGCTCCTCGGTTACCTCGAACTCTTCGGTAGCGTATCCATGAGCCAGGAAAGAAAGAACCCAAACCTAGTAACAAGAGTTAGTGGATGGGATGAAACGAGGGCACGACGGAGATGGGACGAAAGACTTGCAATGATGCGGATGGTAGCCGCATTAACTCCCTTCAAGCTGCCGACATCGATAGCCTGGGAGTAGTCTCGGAGCCAGTTGCCAAAGTAGGTGCGCCCGACCATCATAGTGGTCCACTTTTTGCCGTTGATGAAGGCCAGGGTCTTGAGAACGTCTTCGATATCGCCATGTCTCCAGTTGTGGCCCTCGACCTGGGCGATGGAAGGAATGTTGCCAGCACCGAAGGCTGCAGCCTTGTCTGGGAGAACAACCAGGACCAGAGCTAGGACCAGCAAGACGCTGCCCCAGCCTATCCTGAGACCCGCCATTATGTGTAACTCGATGTGTGGTTTCGCGTATTATCTTTGTGTTTCCGCGCGCAAATTGATGAGGTTTTGGGTCAGATTTGAGATGAAAGAGGTCAAGATGTCATCCAGTCTTCAGTTTGCCAAGGGAGATGAGATGGAGAACTTGGTCTAGTAGCTAGTAGGCGCAGTACTTGCAAAAAAACATGCGCGTGACTCAGCTACAACCTGCGCAGAAGGTGTGTCTCGCGGACGTCTTTGGAGAAGTACAATTGGAGGAACCGGAGGACAGAGTAAGACAAGCGGCCTGAAGCTGGAAGAAGCTGTCCAGTGGGCAGATTACGAAGGATTTTGCAAAAAGAGGATGGGGATGGGGAAGGAACGGGCAAAGCTGCGACCTGAAGAGAGCTGAGCTTGGCAGAACCCTTGACGTCAGATTTTGAACTCCCACCAAATCTCAACTGCACACTGGACACTGCAGTGACGGGAAGCCGAGGCAGGTGCTCTCCTCTCTTCTAGAACGAATTGAGTTGCTCACCCACAGTCCAATACTACTGCCAAGTTCTTTCCCATCTGGCAAGGCTCAAAGGTGTGCCAAAGATCATACATGGATGTTACTTGACCTCTACGGCCTCGGCGTACATACGTACCAGGTAAGCTCCCAAGAGTTCTTTTGGAGCGGAGCCATCCTTGAATCCGCCGTCCCATCTCCAACAAAAAGGTCCCGTCATGGGTACACTAGAGGTAGGAAGTTGTGCACGGTGCTCGGTGTTCAGTTCTATACCCGGCCCATCAATTACCTAGGTAGTTTATAAGGCATGTTCTGTGTAGTTGTTCATCATCTGCAAGTTTGACTTGAAGAACCCAAATGACTTTGCGGTATCAATCCCATTGGACATCATCCAACACGGTCACATGAAGCAAAACAAAAGGACGGGAAACACTCCGACAAGAACAAGCATAAAATTGACCGGGCACAAGTCCCGTCCCGCATGGACTTGATCTCGTACCCACTTTGCTCACCACTGCACCGAGCCTTGCCCCGCCAAAACCCTCCACATTTTCATAGGGACCTGGCAATCGGCAGGCACCGCTCCCGACCGACAACCGAACTGAAGTTGGGACACCACAACGCGATTACTTGTACCCTAGAGATACCTGTTTATAAGACGGACGGAACCAACCCGTCGTCAGGGTTATCATAGATTCCAGGGTTTATACGTGCGGTTCCTTCAAGAGAGATCCAGGCAAGAGGCAAGATCCAGCGAAAACAACGCCGAACAAGATTGGAGTTGGGTTCTCTCTTCAGACCAAGGGAAAAAAAAGAGTTCGATTTCTTCGCCCTGCGCCGTCTTGGCGAACCCATCGGTACCATCGGATAACGCCACCCTCTGCTGACTGTTTTTACGCGCATTCCGTGGACGGGGGACCACAGCGACTCCAGCGAGTGACAACTTGGGAACCCCTGACGGGTACAGCAAGTCCGGGCCCAGAAAAGTCGTCCGTTCTTCAGGTACACGCAAACCACGCCCGACTTCCGTTCCCGTCCCTTCCCGCAGATCCTATCCCACAACATCAGAATAAGACCCCTTTTTTCCCTACCTACCTACCTACCTACATTGTTTCACTCTATTGCTGTTCTAATGCTCCAGTCTGGTATTTGAGTCTATCCTTTTATAAGCTCTTTGATATCCTCGTTGCGAGGTAGCCCGGATCCCCCGTCGTCTTTTTGACTGTTTTGGTTCTTTCACCGCCCAAAAAGTTATAAGCGAGAAGCGAGAGAGGAATCCCATACCCAAAACATCCCAGCCGAGACGTCGACCTCACTCTGCAGAGAGCATTGCATCCTGCGATCACAATACAGCAACCATGTCGGGCCGCACTCTTCCCACCCTCACCATCGACGAGGTCGAATCGCACAACTCGGCAAAGTCTTGCTATGTCACCATTGGCAGGAATGTCTACGACGTGACCGACTTCCTCGACTCCCACCCCGGCGGTGCTGATCTCGTCCTCGACTGGGCCGGCAAGGACATTGGCGCCATCCTCAAGGATGAAGCATCGCATACCCACTCCGAGGCCGCATACGAAGTCCTCGACGAGTCGCTGGTGGGATATCTAGCATCAGGAAACGGCGCTGCGGCGAACGGAGAGGCGAAGGACGGCGAGAACGGAACAGAACAGCAATGGGTTCATCCTCGGACGGGTATGTCCTGCGAAGAGGACCTCAGCAAGGACACCGACTACAACGCCGATTACAAGACACACAAGTTCCTCGACTTGAACAAGCCGCTGTTCATGCAGATCTGGAACGGTGGTTTCTCCAAAGAGTTCTATCTCGACCAGGTTCACCGTCCGCGCCACTACAAGGGAGGAGAGTCGGCGCCTTTGTTTGGCAACTTCCTTGAGCCTCTGTCCAAAACACCTTGGTGGTTGATCCCGCTAGTCTGGTGGCCACCCATCTCGTACGGTGTCTCCGTTGCATTCCAGGGCTTTGGCAGTGTCGCTCCCGTGGCCGGCTATTTCGGATTTGGCCTCGCTTTCTGGACTTTGATCGAATACATTCTGCATCGCTTTTTGTTCCACCTTGATTAGTGAGTATTCGCGGACCCTTTGCGCAGCACTCGAACACGCACTAACCCGCTTCTTTCCAGCTACCTTCCCGACAACCGCGTCGGCATCACCGCGCACTTCCTCCTTCACGGCATCCACCACTACCTGCCCATGGACAGGTACCGCCTCGTCATGCCGCCCACTCTCTTTGTCGTCCTGGCTGCTCCCTTCTGGAAGTTTGCCCACGCCATCCTGTTCTACAACTGGTACGCCGCCACGGCCGCCTTCTGCGGTGGTGTCTTTGGCTACACCCTTTACGACATGACGCACTACTTCCTCCACCACCAGAACTTGCCCGCCTACTACAAGGAGCTCAAGAAGTACCACCTTGCCCACCACTTCCTCGACTACGAGAACGGCTTTGGCGTCACCAGCGCCTTCTGGGACAAGATCTTTGGCACCGAGCTTGTGTACAATCCCAAGACGAACTAAGTGCCGCTCCTAGGTGAACCTAGTTCGGATATTGAACTCTCTTCTTCACACACACAGCCCGACTAGACCTTTGCAAGGCGTCGTTGGAGTACATACTTATTTGAAACAACCATTTTGTAATGAAAGAAAGAAGGAAAAACAGAGTATGTACATGGGATAGGATTCATGGAGTATTGACGCCGTACGTAGGCACGGGTGGGCAGGATATCTCATATCACGGGTTGGGCAGCTGGGGAATCACAGACAAAAGTCAATGGGAAGGGGTTTTTGCTTCGGTTTGGGCTGGTCGGCCGGTTGGTAGGCAAAGGGGATGGGGCGTCTAGCTGTTGGGTTTGGCTGGACTGGACTGCGGTGGCAGCAAGGGGGAATCATCATGGGTATATGTTGCTTCTTTTTGGTTGTTGGTCAATACCCCCTAATGTTAATATGAATGACTTGGAAGTAACGTCACTGAAGATATGCTATTCGAAGCAGTGTCTGTCATGAACTGTTGATAGTTGAAGCACACACATTGCTGTTGGCAGGTTCAGGGGTAGTTGGGTTGAGATTGTGCACTATGTTAGCTGGACTTATTGCTACAGGAAACTTATCGAGCTTCACTATGACACCGCACACTTTCCAGTCATTTACTGTAGCTGGGCCCAACCTGGGCAAAGGCGGTCAATGCAAATTCTTGGCATCGAACAAGTTTCTGCGAGCGGAGGTCACGTGTCCATCATAGAACCTGCCGCCGGCTAGCCAGTGATGGGCCGCCACAGCCTGAAGTTCGCCGGCCCAGCGCCGCCCAGACCCCCTTGAGGCTGCCATTTCGGTTCAATCCATTTTATTGCCAGACCGGAAACTGCGCCTCCCAACGTCCAACTTGACAATTCCTCTACCACCTCCAACCTGAGCCCACGCCGCCGCATCTGGTTGCTCTAGTCACAGAGCGCGCTTGTCTGAAATCGTTCCAAGTGTATTACCTAACTCTCGACGGCAAAGCGAATTGAATACCGCGATCTAGACAGAGCAAATCACACCACACTTTCCCACAAAATGTCGGGCTTAGACGTCGAGGCCCTCCTCGATTCCACTGCCTCTAGCAAGGAGCAGCAGATGGATGTCGACCCTCCTACCACCAACGGCGGCGCTGATCAGAATGGTTCCAAATCCGAACGCCGCGACCGTGACAGTGACCGCGATAAAGAGCGCGAGCGAGACCGTGACCGGGGCCGAGATAGCAGCAGGGACCGTGGCAGGAGATATCGTGACCGTAGTTCGGGTCGCCTTCGCAACTCGTCGAGTGAGGCTGGTAGAGACACCCCCCGCAGTGATGCCGGAAGTCACCGAAGTAGGCGTCGGAGCCGGAGCCGTGATTCTGGCAGACACTCACGCCGTCACAGAGATGGAGACTACTACCGAGGCCGCCGAGGCCGCTCCCGATCTCGCTCCCCGAACCGCTACTACCGGCCCCGGGGCGACGATCGCCGCGACCGCGGTGACAGCTACCGTCGACGTGACGACGACCGCCGCAGCGGCAGAAACACCCCAAGGGCCCGGGATGGTACTCCTCAGCCCCTGACCGAGGACGAGCGCGATCGTCGCACCGTGTTCGTGCAGCAGTTGGCTGCCCGTCTGCGCACTCGCGAACTCAAGGAGTTTTTCGAAAAAGTCGGTCCTGTTGCCGAGGCCCAGATTGTGAAGGACAGGGTCAGCAATCGCTCCAAGGGGTACGTTACACCGCAGTCCCTCCGTTCCCGCATACAAAGAGACGTAGGCTAACAAATATTGATAGCGTTGGTTATGTTGAATTCAAGAACGAAGACTCCGTCCAAGCCGCTCTACAGCTCACTGGCCAGAAACTCCTAGGTATTCCTGTCATCGTCCAGCTTACCGAGGCTGAGAAGAACCGCCAAGTGCGCACCACAGAGACCTCTGGACACCACCCCAACTCGATTCCCTTCCACCGACTCTACGTGGGCAACATCCATTTTAGCATCACGGAGCAAGATTTGCAGAATGTGTTTGAGCCCTTTGGTGAGCTCGAGTTTGTACAGCTCCAGAAGGATGACAACGGTAGGAGCCGTGGTTACGGATTTGTACAGTATGTCCATCACATCTTTCTGTTCTTTGAAGACACAGTGTTTGCTAACCCACCCCGCTAGGTTCCGTGACGCTGGTCAGGCCAGAGAGGCCCTCGAAAAGATGAACGGGTTCGACCTCGCTGGTCGCCCGATTCGTGTGGGACTTGGAAACGATAAGTTTACCCCAGAGTCCACTGCCAATCTCCTGCAGAGGTTCCAAGGCCAGAATCATCATCAACAATTCCAGGGATCTGCTTTCTCGGGCGCCGGTGGACGTGGCCCCGCTACCTCCAATTTTGATCGCGCTGGCGCACGCGACAACGAAAAAGGCACCGGTGCCAGTGCTCTCGACGACACCGACGTCGCTGGTGTCAACTTCAACAACTATAGTCGTGATGCCCTGATGAGAAAGTTGGCACGAACTGACGAGCCACCTGCTAGCGTCATTCCTGAGCGACAGATTCTCAAGCCCAAGACGGAGACCAAGCCGCTGCCTGTCAACGTGAACATGGCCAGCCGATGCGTTGTTCTCCACAACATGTTTGACCCTGCTGAGTATGTCAATCCCTTGTCCCTTCGGTCTTATCGGATGCTAACCGTTTAACAGGGAAGAGGGTGAGAACTGGATCAAGGAGCTCGAGGACGATGTCCGCGAAGAGGCCGAGGCCAAGTATGGCCACGTCGTTCACATTTCTCTAGATCCCAACTCGGCCGGCGACATCTACCTCAAGTTCGATAAGGTCCAGGGAGGAGAAAACGCCATCAAGGGCTTGAACGGCCGGTATTTCGGTGGGAGAATGATTACCGCTGCACCTGTTGTGGACGCGGTCTACAGCAGTTTGTTCTCTCGCTCAAAGGCGATCTAAGACGCTAATCACGACTTTGACTGCGTTTCCTAGGCATTCTCACTGTAAGCTTCTCCGACTTTTCATCCAAATTCCAGCATGGGGCTAACATGATTGCAGAGTCTCGACAGCCCCACGAGGGAGCGACGGTCACTTATCTCTAGGATCCCCTGTTGTCTTTCATGCCGTCGAGCGAGCAAATTGTCCTGCTATATATCCATCCAGCCATGCAACATCTAGCGCAACCAGTGATGGACAACATCCAGCATTCAAGTTTGAAGATGCTCTCTCAAGGTTTCACGGCACACTACACCACAACCGGTCTTCGCAAGGACCATTGATCCCTCGCTGATGAAGATGCAATGACAGACAATCGTCCCCGCTGCTCTCTTCTCACTGCCATTTTTTCGAGACCGAAGAAGCGAACTGGGTGGACCGGGGGTTTGCTCTACTGCTTCTTCATCTGCAAAGCAGCTCTTCCCACATAGCGGTTAAGCGACCGAATACTGATTTCTGTCTTGCACCAGAAGAGACAACGGGAGACTTTGTCGTCCGTGGAGAAGGCGAGACCATAGTGACGGCGAGATTCTCACCATAATGCGCTTGCAACGCAGTCGAGCCACGGGAGACTTATACTATGCACTGACGCCGTGCATCACGAAAAGGTATCAACCTCTCCCTTCAGAGCTCGACTTATCCTACAACGTCCGGTGGCGTATTTTTCGATGCAATGACCATATTTCATAGATGCATTTACTTCGGTCGTCGTATAGCGAAATTGTATTAGATTTGGGGAAAAAAAAATAAGACGGGTGATTCAAGCTTCATCATCTCCCATGCTTATGTGATTGTTGATCATTACGACCCTGTGAAGGTATGCCCACACCCCTACTTTCTGGTCGGGGCGCAAATATGAATAGATACCTGACTTGATGCAGTGAGTGATTGGTACAATTAACTAAGAGCTGATAGCACCTCAGTCTCGTCGAGTCCCCGAGGCATTGATGCAGATCGTTTCGTATCACACTGATCGTGGTTGGTGCCCTGTCTCTTTCTTTGTTCAATTGCTACACAACACTACGAGTGTAACACAAGTTCCACCGATGGAAGAGAACCTGTTCACTTTGCCAACCAACCTCTCCCTCTGTGTTCACCACTTCCTCGTCCCAATCAGAAGAGCAATGGACATGCCATGCTATTTTTCAGATCAACCCCAGTATTCCTCGACTCCTGTGAGATGGGGACTATAGCAGCTGGTCATCGATGTTAGCGGGCTGAGGCCTCTTAGACTCCTTTTGACAGAGCGGTAGTGAAGCTGGAAATATCTTCAGCATCAGCACCTACTGAAATCGCCTGCAAGTGCAATATCTGGCGATTGGCAAACGCCCAGTATCTCTCAAACTTATTTATGCCAACCTCTGCTACAGCTCTGTTCACTACCGGTTACTGAAGCCATACTGGATACTTTCGTTAACAGTTCACGGATGACAGTCATCCACCCCAACGGAAAGCATCACCTCCTTCCACAGTCCGACACAGTCTCCGCCTGCAAAGTGTAACAATCTAGACGTCGTTACAAGAGCCGCAAGCGCAGGTTTCGTTGCCAGTGTCAACAACTTGCCACTTCACTCTCACAAACCTGTTTGCACATCACCGTCGTTTCTGTCCAGCGATGTCAATGAATTAATCGACTTCGGTCAAACTGTCTCGTCTCATATCTTCCACCAGAAGACGGACGAAACGGTCGACGGATGCTTCTAGCCACAGTCACACAGGAAACGAAGGTTCAGATGGAGTGGGTGCCCGGGCAACAAGTGCAAACAATCGTTGTCAACTAGTGTGAATCCATCTCTCTCCTTTCGTCTGGTCGTCGGTCTGCCAAGAGCAAGTGGTAAATGTGTGCTCGGTGGTTTGATCACAACTCCTTCTTACTGCTGTATGTCTGCGTGATCCAGCCTTGGTTGCAGCTACCAAAATGCCTTTGGGAGGAAAACTGGACGCAAATAGCTTCAGCTTGCCATCACTTTCTTCTCCGGATACCCGGTCAGAGCGAGACAAATACCTCTCCAGCTTTCGGATATTTCAGCGCTGGTCACTATATAGCGTTGATCTTCTGACAAAAAATCCTCTCCGGGCCATCTCTTCCCGCTGCTACCACCAGAGTCCCCTGGGAGTTGTCACTGCGAGCGGCACTTCATCGTGAAGTGAGCGGTGTCGCGTACGCAGCGTACTCAATTTTAACGGACGTTTCCATATTGGAAAGACCGGTACTCCACACAACTGCCGTCTCCTAACCTTGAATTGTTCGCATGAGCACATGTCCGCATTCACAGGCGTGAGTAGCAGTTGAAGTGGCAACCGACTTCATACCATCTGCTCAAATTAGATTGACACTTCATAGAACACTGTCCAAGGTCGAGTCGTCTTGTTCTAGAAACGACTGCGGCCTTCGACACAAGGAAGTAACCACGGGCTTTCAACAGATCCAATCAGGGACTGGACTGCTTCCTCATTGCCTCAGCAACCGGGAGAGTAGAAGTATCTGTGGATCTTCACTGTCAAATTCAAACTCGTGTGACCACCTCAACTTCAGATGATAGCTCGTCTGATCTCGTCAGACCCAGTTTAAGCATCGGCTTGCAAACGCCAGTCATCATCTACTCCCAGAGTTCAGGACACTGAAGAAGATTCTCCTGCCCATCAACAGCTGCTTTCAGGTCCCATCTTCCCGGTTACTGCGGTAACAGAGGTCACAAGTATCCCATCTCCTTCCAGTCCACGACGGACCTGGAGCCAGCACCTTGAGACAAACGCCGCGAACATCCGGAGGACACTCGTCTGAACTTTTGGCTCCGTCCTTCTCCCTTCACTTTTGGTCACGGGTCACAGAAACCTTAATTCTACGTCTACTCCGTTTCCCCGACAACCCCCACGAACCCCAAAAACTCGGGAGGGTTCTGCAGCATTTAAATCCTCGCCGGCCCTGCGCACTTCTTCCTTTCTCCAACTTTCTACTCCCACTCTCTTTTCTTTTCGAGTATCCATCGCCAGACCTCCTCCTGCGCCTGGATCTCGAACTTTAGGAGTCAACTTGATTGTGCGCTGCTAACCAAAACTCTTCAAACGTCTTCCTTGACAACTTCCTCTTCGCTGTCTGCGAAAGTATTTCCCACACCCACAGCCATCCCCTCGCGTTAACCACACATCCTCCTTACCGACCTCAGTATTTCCCCACCCATCCTTGACCTAACTCTAACTGCGCTCACATCGCGCTCACATCACCATGGGTCGCGGAAGCTTCTCCAGCGACGGCTCGTCTGACGCCGGCGGCGCTCGCCTTGCGCTTTTCTCTCCCCCGCCAAGGGGAAACCAGCAATGGCGGTCTGATACTAAGAGCTACAAGACCGAAACTCCTGATACGGACACCTTCCCCAGCGAACCGAGCGGGAGCGAGAGGCAGTCAGGAGGCGCCCGCATCAACGGCCACTCGCGACACTCGTCGATGGCCTCGGCTGTCTCCATGCATTCGTCACATTCGCGCTCTAGCAGCAGCACGTATGTTGGCAATGGTCATGGTCAGCTTCAACCTTTCAACAACTTCCAGCCTGGAGCTTCACACCACCCTTCGGGACCATCACGTCCTCCTCAGCGGTATCAGATACCTGATAACCAGGTGACGCCGCCTAATAAGGTGCAGCAACTGGGGAAGGGTTTGAGTTCCATGGAGCTCATTCGCAGTGGAGACCACCCTGCTATCTCTGTGAGTCCCCTTCCCACCTCTCCCTCACCCTGAGCATCAACTAACACCCAGCAGGACATCCGCAAACACGCCGCCGATGCCAACCGTCGGCTCTGGGGACTTAAACACGCTGTCGACAGCTCTGAACACGTCCCTTCCGAATTTCGCGAGGGGTTTGACGTCGATATCACTCAGGTTCTCAAGCACCTGACCACCATCTCTAGCGCTGCCGAATCCTTGGCAACCGGCCTCGATAGGAAAAGTGACGAGTGCGAGAGCCTGCGCACAATGTACTCGTCGCAGACTATGGATTACGACGGTACTCGAGCGCAGCTTGAAGCTGAGCGTGCTGAGATCAGGGCTGAGCGGACAAGGATGCTGAAGTTCGAGGCCGACATGAAGGCCGAGAAGGACAAGGATGAGAGGGTTATCAAGGTATGTGATTACTCGAGAACATTGGTGCCGGCAGACGACTAACAAATACGTAGGCCCTCCAAGAACAAATCGCCGGCAAACGCCACCTCTGGATGCAAGTCCGCAAAGACCCTGAAGAAAAGGCTATGGCCTTGGAGATGCTCTCCCGTTCTTCCACCCCCTACACATCCGTCACCGACTCCTCCGCCTCCCCCACCCCCACTGGCCCTCGCGACTGGCAAGCCTCCCGCGCCATAAGCTCAAACACTCGTCCTCCTCGCAGCGGCCACAACCTCATGCCCGGCACCCACTTCGGCGGCCCCCTCCCCCCTCGCTCTGTCTCGGGTTTTGCCATCGCCCACTCCCAGCGACTCAACTCCCGTGGTGGCCACAGCTCACACCGCAAAGGCACCGGCCGCGTTGTTTCCGAATGGGGCAGTCCCGTCTCTCGTGGCTCAGCCGGCTCCGGTCGTGGCGGTGGAAATCGCTCCCACCATCACGGTCCTCCCACCGCCATCTTCATCCCTCCGACACCCAAGACCCACGACGAGGACGGCCCAACCGCCACCTTCTCCGGCAAACTCACCCACCTATTAACAGTCGTCATCCGCGCCTTCACCCACAAATACTTTGGCAAACCCATGCCAGAAGTCGAGTCACGTCTCCGCAAGGAATCCCCTTCCCTCTTCTCCTACATGTGCGACCTCGTCTACCCGGGCCGCGGCCGCAAGATAGGCGAATCGCACGTTTCCTTTCTCCTCAACGACGACGTCTCCCGCCCTTACCTCGTCGAACGCCTCCTCGTACAATACATCACATCCACGATGCTCCAATCCGAGGGATGGACGGGATACGAGCCCTCAGTCGA